ACCCCTTGGTGCCCTCTACTCACCCTCAGTAGATTTTCTGTAGCATTTATTGCCATCTGATATACAATATATATTTTACTTTAAAAAACTTTTGTCTCTTTCTACCCCCCCCCCCAACTAGAATATGAGGAATTTATGTTGTTCTTGTTCACTGCTGTGTCTCAGTTCCTCTGTCAAGCTTATGTGAGACCAATGGCATTTGGGAAAGAAAGTCTCTAGCAACATCCTCAGCTACCTTTTGGGTATCAAAATCTCCTTGGGAACATAAACACATAGATTCCTGAGCCCCATCCCAAATAGAGCATAGAGGATCTTGTATACCATGTGAAGGAGTTTGGATTTTATTCCCAAGGCTTTTGAGGAGAGTAATGCCCTTATCCAGCCTGTGTTTTATGAAAGAATATCAAGGATGAATTAGAGTGGACTAGGGGACTGCCCGTGGCCGAGTAAAGTTCTCGCCCTCCGCTTCGGTGGCCCAGGGTTTCGCCAGTTCGCATCCTGGGCGTGGACATGGCACCACTCATCAAGCCATGCTAAGGCGGTGTCCCACGTGCCACAGCTAGAAGGATCCACAACTAAAATATACAACCATGTAATGGGGGGCTTTGGGGAGAAGAAGGGAAAAAAACCAGAGTGGATTAGAATGGGAAAAAGAGACCTCTTGGGACTGTTGTAATAATTCAGACGAGATGAAGCTTAAACTAGAGGGCAGTAGCAATGAGAAAGGTAGGGTTGTCAGAACTTGGTGATTGATTGGGTGTGAAAGAGTGGGAGGAAATTGGGATGACTTCCAGGTTTTTGGCTTAGGTGCTAGGTGGATGGATTGTCAGTAACTCTGAGACAGGCAATACAGGATGGAAGAACGGGCTTGGGGAAAGATGGTGGGTTTACTTTTGGACATGATGAGTTTGAATGAGTTATCAGGAAGAAATGTTCAGGAAGTAGGTGTATGTGGGTGTGGATGTTTGTGTGAGTGTAGTGTTGTAATAATTATTTTGAGAAAGATGTGAATTTGGCAGTTATTAGGTTTCATGTATCATGAACTAATCTAGACAACCACTAATCTACTTTCTGTCTCTATAGATTTGCCTATTCTGGGTATTTCATGTAAATTGTATCATATAATATGTGGCCTTCTGTGACTGCTGCTTTCACTTAATATGTTTTCAAGGTTCATCCATGTTGTAGCATGCATCAGTACTTCATTCCCTTTTTATAAAAAGCTGTATATAATTTATATACCCTACAATTCAGTGATTTAAAATGTGCAATTCAATGGTTTTTAGTGTATTCTCTGAGTTGTTATCCATCACGACAATCAATTTTACATTTTCTTTACCTTTCCCGCAAAAAGCCATACCCCTTAGCTATCACCTCTCCGATCTTCTTATCCACTCCCACCCAACACTAGGCAACCACTAGTCTACTTTCTCTGTCTATAGATTTGCCTATTCTGGACATTCCTTATAAATGGAATCATACAATTTCTGGTCTTTTGTGTCTGACTTATTTTGCTTTTGCATGATCTTTTCAAAGTTCATCCATGTCGTAGCATGTATCAATACTTCATTCCTTTTTATTGCCAAATATTCCATTGTATGGATCCATTCATCAGTTGAACATAAATTGGGTTGTTTCCACCTTTTGACTATTATGAATAATGCTGCTGTGAACATTCATGTGGACATACATTTTCATTTCTCTTTGGTATATACCTAGGAATGGCATTGCTGGATCATATGGTAACTCTTATGTTTAACTATTTGAGGAACTGTCAGACTTTTTCCCAAAGAAGCTGCATCATTTTACGTTCCCACCAGCGCTGTATAGGGGTTCCAGTTTCTCCACATCCTTGCCAACACTTTCTATTTATTATCGGTCTTTTTTATTCATATACACCATCCTAGTGGTATCTCATTGTGGTTTTCACTTGCATCTTTTCATGTGCTCATTGGCCATTTATATAACTTCTTTGAAGAACTATCTTCAGATCTTTTGCCCATTTTTTAATTGGGTTATTGGCCTTTTAACTATTGAGCTGAGTTCTTTATATATTTTAAATACAAATCACACGTCATATATATGATCTGAAAAAATTTTCTCCCATTCTGTGGGTTGCCTTTTCGTTTTCTTGATGATGTCCTTTAAAGCACAAAGTTTTTAGTTTTGATAAATCCAGTTTATTTTTTCCTTTGGTTGTCTGTGCTATTGGTATCATATTTAAGATTGCCAAATCCAAGGTCACAAAGGTTAATGCTGTATTTTTCTTCTTTCTTCTAAGAGTTTTATATTTTTACCTCTTTCATTTAAGTCTTTGATCCATTTGAGGTGCTAGTCTTGATCCTGTCCCTTACTTGCTTTGTGATCTTGTAGTGTTCATTTGCCTTTTCTCAGCCTCATTGTTTTTAATTTGTAAAATGAAAGCTGATGTGTGTGTGTATAAATAAACAACAACAGAAAACAGATCACTGGTTGCCATGGGCTGTGAGTTGGGGGAGGGTATTGACTACAAAGATGAGAGAACTTTTTGGGGTGATGAAAATACTTAATATCTTAATTGTGGTGTTTGTACAACCATATACATTTTTCAGGGTTCATAGGTATGCCTAGAAGGGATATGTTTTAGTATACGTAAATTATACCTCAATAAACCTGTCTTTTAAAAAAAACACCTTAAATCAACTCTACAAAGTGTATGTTGTTCTTTTCCATTTTGAGGCTAGAGGAAATTGAGGCTCAGAAAAGTTAGGGAACTTGCCTGTGCCCCACATTTGATGTGTGGCAGTTCCAGAGTTTGAACCTAAATCTGCCTGATCATAGAGCTTGTGATCTTCCTACTCATTTTCAGCCTGTCCCTGAAAATATTGACAGTGTATGGATTCTGTTGTAAAAGGCCAACCTTCCCTTGAAAGCCAGGAACACTGTCTGCCTGTGAGCAGCTCCCCAGAAGTAGCTCATATTCTTATTCCAAATTTTGAACTCCTGGCAGATCTCATTTCTATCAGTCGTTAGTTGGGATTGGAGTTGATGCTGTTGTTGAGTGCTGCCCAGGCATGATCTTCTTCTGAGGCTGTGGCCTTCATTTTGGAGCAGCGGGAGACCAGTTTCAAAGCTGATGAGTTTCTTTGGTTATGAAAAGTAATTTCGTACTTTGTCCAATCGGCAACACAAGTACCTGCTCTGTAGGAGGGTGCTCCGATGTTTACAGGGCCAGTTGTGCTGCTTAGCACTTTAACAGTCTTCCTTCCCCCGGCTTATTTAGCAGAGAACTAGTTGGGTAGAAGAGAGATCCAAGCAGGGAAAATGTACAAGGAGCCTTCTGTATTGTTGTTGTTGTCACATCATCACCGTCATCATTTACATCTGCATGCCACTTTACCGTTTGCAGTGTATTTTAATGTCTCTGATCTGTCTTAATTCTCGCAGTACCCTGTCAGGAGAGTACTTATACTATAGTCGTGTGCTGCATAACGTTGTTTCAGTCAATGACGGACATTATGACGGTTGTTCCATAAGATTAGTACCACATAGCCTAGGTGTGTACCATCTAAGTTTGTGTAAGTATACTCTATGATGTTCACACGGTGATGAAATCCCCAGCAACGCATTTCTCAGAACGTATCCCCGTCATCAAGTGACGAATGACTGTATTTAGAGAAAGAGTGTTACTTGGCTGTATTCTTGGATAATTCCGGCTGCAAGAGTATTTTTTCCTGAAGTTGTGCTGAAATATATGTCTCCTATACTCTCATCCTCAAGTTCTTCTAGTTTCAGTTTGTTAACTGGTGGTAGTTTAATCTAGCCTGTTGCCCTGGGGTGTTTTGCCAGGGCTGCACAATGGGTACATTTCAGGAAGGTCTATCCTCTGAAATTGACCAGTGGCATTTTCCTTTTTTGTCTGTTTGACTGCCCCAGCTTCCTCTCCTTGGGAACTCCTCTTTTTTCCACTTCTCATTCCAGAACCCTGGACAGACTAATTAATCTCAGAGCAGTTGTCATCAAGTCAGCTGTTGACTGCTTGTCTTCAACATTTGACTTGTTTCCTATCTTGAGGTGCTACAGGAAGAAGTTAATGACCTAAAAAATTGCCCATGTATCATGTGAGCCTAGTTAGGAGGGAATTGTTTGATTTTTATGAAGTGTAAATAATATGTTTGGAGACACATTTTCAAACATGTGTCAGCCTATGTGTCAGAGATGGTTCCCTAAAGAAAGTGGGACAAATTGGCTGGCTAATAGAGCTTAATGACAGATTTTCCATTAATCAGAATGGAGAATGTGCTTCATTAAGATAATTAACAGAGCACTTGTGCAGGTGGTACTTACTGCATGCAAATTTCCAAGTTTCTTTCTTTCCCTTGAATAAATTTTGGAAGAGATCTTGGCTGTGTTTCCTTGTTTGCATTAAAATGATCAATGGCAGTAAGTTTCTATTTTTTTAAAAGCTGCTAGTAACTGGTATGTTGTCCTCTGCAGGTGCAAGGGGTGAGTAATACGCTTTCTGCTTTCCATTCCAGCAGCCAGTGTGCCCATCACCAGCACCCAGGCTCCTCTGGTGAACAGTAGAAGTGAATCCTTTCCCAGCTCCTGAACTAGGATCATTAGAATTAGAAAGGACCTCAGAGAGCCTAAACTAATTGATTTTACATCAGGATATTAAAGTCCAGAGAGGAGAAGTGACTTGGTCAATGCCATACAGTATGCTAATGGAAGAGTCGTCTGTGGGATAGTTGGACCAACACTGAACTGAGAGCCAAAAGGCTTGGGTCAACATTAGGTATCACCTCTCTGCTTCTCAGTATCTTCATTGGTATAACGGGAAAAGTGTCTAGCATAGGGCCAAGTACAAATAAACAGTTTTTTGTTTAGTACTCTTTCTACTATACCATTGCTTCTTGTTGCTTCTCTGTGAGCATAAACTGAAGATTATAGAGGGGAAGCTGATGTCAGGGAGAATGAGCAATCAGTAAATCAATGCTGTTTTCTTTGTTTCTCTGTAGGATCCGCAGTCTTCCACAATGAACCCTGTTTACAGCCCCGTGCAGCCTGGGGCTCCTTATGGCAACCCTAAAAACATGGCCTATACAGGTGAGTGGTGTGAGAATGGCTCTGATTTTGAGAAAAGGTGGTTAAGGACATGAGCAAATAACTTGTGGAATGACTTTTGGCATACTGCGCCTCCAAAAGCCTTGGGGAAGCCTGGGAACTTGGAGAAGGGTGACGTGTCTGGGGTCTAGTGGGGATGGAAATGATGTTCGTGAGACTGAGGATTATTGAGTTATCAACTAGGGGGAAGGAAGGGAGGTAACATTTATTTATTGAGTACTTACCATGGGCCTGGCCCTGTGCTAGGCACTTACACATACCGTATTTCACTTAATCTTAAAGCAGTTCTACACAGTGCAGCTTATTATCATTTCACAGAGGAGAAAACCATAGTCACAGTAAGAAGCCCAAAACAAAAGTAGATATTTGAACCCAGCTCTTCTGATTTTCTTTCCTGAACTGCATACCAAGCTGTTTCCAACTTCTCTGCCTTTGTGTATGTTGTCCCTCTGTCTGGAATGCCATTGTCCCCTGACAACTTCACCTTATTCTTTAATAACTCAGCTCTGAGCTCAGACAGCACTTTTCCAGGAAGCATTCTCTCCCTTACTTGGCCTTAGGCAAGTTTTTTCCATAATTTAATTTAAATAATAAGGATAATAAAGCTGTTGTAATAAACACAAATATAGCAAAGATAACCTGAAAATCTGCCTACTTCAGAATACCTAGAAAAGCTGGATAAAGTATAACTAACCTCTTATGTTTGTTAAGCTGGATACAATATAAAAAAAAATTTTGTGTTATATAACAAACACAGGTAGAATTGAGATTTAAAGAAAGAAAAAGAAATCTCCAGGGGTCAAAAAAAATGAAAAGGAAGCTAAAACTCAGTGAGCTGATGTTGGACTGCTGCGTGAAGGTTTCTGGTTTGGGCAATCAAAGGGCTTGCCTTTTCACAGCCGCCGATGGGTGCAGGTGGCTTGGGAGATGAGGCTTTGGGCCCTGGAGAAGCCGTGCGCCGGAACTCAAATTCCCCTGCATGAAGCTAGGACCTTAGAGAAGTCATATTGTCAGTGAAAAAAAAATTTGACTCAAAAGTATAGAGAGACAACAGGAAGCTTATGTTAAAAAAGAAAGTTCCCCCAAAATTTGAAACCTTGGCCTGTGTGAAGTCAGAATTATTCTGCTTGTGTGGAGTTTATACTACCTGTGTGGTCCTAGAATCTCCAGTGAAGAAATTAACTTAAAATATAGTTCCCAGCTGATGATATTCCTTGGTGATTAGTAGAAACAAAGACAATCCTCCTTACTTCCCTCCCTCCCTCTGGAGGAGTGCTAATTATCTCATTTGATTCTCACAACTGTCCTGTGCAATAGATAATATTATCCCAGCCTATAAAAGACATTTAAATTTAGGGAGGTTAAGCAACTTGTCCAAAGTCACCTAGCTATTATCTGACAGAACAGGGCTTTGAACCTCGTTGTTCATTCACTCAAAACACATTTACCAGGTTCTACCATGTGCCAAGCAGAGAGACAAGGTCTGCTCCCTTTCCAAACACTGCCTAATCTTCTTTGTGCAAACTGATAGGTAAATGCAACTGTTTTCCTCTTTCTCAAGTTTAGCAACTCAGTAAGAATGAAGGCAAGGAGGATCACAGGAAACCCTCAGGATTCCCCTGGGCTCTGTCTGCCAAAGCAGCTCAGTCCCGTCTGGCAAAGGAACTTAGGTTGCTGGAACACTCTGAACTGGAAAGGAAAAAGCAACAGGCTTCCTGAGCTAGTGGCACATAGGACACTGGCCAGTGGGTCCTGGTTACTGGAATTAATTTTATTAGAATAAATAAATAATAGAAGTTCAAACAGAAAATATTTACTATTAAGGTTAAATAATAAGGATAATAAAGCTGTTGTAATAAACACAAATATATGAAACTGAAAGTTAGTGATGACAGTTATAGTCATATCAGGCTCACCCTCCAATATATTTCTGAATGTTTTTTGGTTTGCATAGAATTGAGAAAATCCTGATTTACAAACATAAGTAGCTGCAAATGTTAGCAGTCTTTTTTTTTAATTAACATGCATTTTTTTTTCTTTTGAGGAAGATTAGCCCTGAGCTAACTGCTGCCAATCCTCCTCTTTTCGCTGAGGAAGACTGGCCCTGAGCTAACATCCATGCCCATCTTTCTCTGCTTTATATGTGGGACACCTACCACAGCATGGCGTGCCAAGTGGTGCCGTGTCCACACCCGGGATCCTAACCGCAAACCTTGGGCTGCCGAAGTGGAACATGCGCACTTAACTGCTGCGCCCCCAGGCCGACCCTTAGCATGCATTCTTAGAAACTTAAGTTAACACACTGATCATCTTATGTGTATACACGCTTTATAAAAATGGTTCTAAATTTTTTTTTTAAATCAAGTCAAATATTTGAGGAATCTCTGAAGCACTTCCCTACTGTTCTTACAGAACAAAGTTTAGAACAATCAGACGAAGAGTTCTCTGAGATCCCTCCATTTTCTGTCTAGGAGGCTACAGTATAGCATACACAGTAAAGTGCAAAGTTATAAGGAGAAAATGGTATATTGCACTCACTGCCAATGGCTCCCTTCTGGGGCAAAACAAGACAATTCTTAACCTACTTTTTGAGCTTCATTTCCCACTTTTCCCCCCTTTTCTACTCTTTACTCCAGCTACTCTCAAGTACTAACAAACACTGACCATAGCGTACGTTTTTACCTCCATGTGTTTGCCACAGTGTTACCTTTGCCTTAGATTTATATTCATTATATTTTTGAAGGCTCATGATATGCTAAAGCACCATGTTAAACAACTACATAAATTTTCTCATTCACTACCCATTACCTCCCCATCTCTAATTATTTGTAAATAATAAAAACCATTATTAAGCACTTACTTTGTCCCAAATATTCTATGCTGAGCTATTATATGCTCTTATATATATTATAGTACATACTGAGTGCCTGAGTGCTCATTTCACCCTTACAGCAGCCCTATGAAAGAGGGTAATACTATTGCCCTCATGTTATATGTGAGAACGCTGAGGCTCTGGGATGCTGCCTCAGCATGGCCTGATGAGCAGTGCCATGTCTGCGCCCAGGATGTGAACCAGTGAAACCCTGGGGCACCCAAATGGAGTGCACAAACTTAACCACTCGGCCATGGGGCTGGCCCTGAAACTGTGGTAATTTAATTCAGGTCATATGACTTGGCCAGTGTATATAGATTCTAAAGGGCGAGGAAAGATTTGAACTCAGGTCTTTATGATTTTAAAGTGTGTGTCCTTTCTGTACTCCTTTCATTGCTCCCAGTGATAAGCTAGGGGAGAGGGTTGTTTTTTTAGTTTCTAGGACTAGGGAGTCTTGCCTTTGAGAAGCTAGATGCCACCTCTAGAGAGTTTGGGGTAGGCTAGGGGTGCAGAAGAAGCAAAAGTGGAGGATCAGGTCCATTGTGGTATGGTCTGCTTCAGAGGTAATGGGGTGGTAGCTACAAGGAACAGAGAGGTCAGAAAAACTCCCGATTTGAAATTCTCTCTGAAGTCTAAGGGGGAAATAAAATACAGCTTTGTAATTATGATTCTGGCACCAATTCTGATGTGTGGGTCGTTTTCCCCACACCAAGCAATTCTCTGACACCAGCTGGGTGTCCTACAATTCAGCTCGATTTTGACACTATCCGTCTGGCGATAGCATCAGATTCCACAGGTTAGGGGCTAAGTCCCAAAAGATTGTCTCCACTTCAGATGCCAGTTGCAATTCCAAGTTGTTACCTGTGCTTTTGATTGATTGGCTTATAAATCAGAGGTTTCCACAAACCTCTCCTTGAGTTCAATTAATTTGCTAGAGCGGCCCACCGTACTCAGGAAACCAGTTTACTCACTAAATTACCAGTTTATCGTAAAAGGATATAACTCAGAAACAGCCAGGTGGAAGAGATGCATCGGGCAAAAGTGTGTGGAAAGGATGCAGAGCTTCCATGCCATCTCCAGGCACACCGCTCTTCCAGCACCTCCTCGTGTTCACCAACCTGGAAGCTCTCCAAACCATGTTCTTTTTGTTTTTTTATGGAGGCTTCATTACATAGGCATGATTGATTAAATCATTGGTCATTGGTGGTTGATTCAACCTCCAGCCCCTCTCCCCTTCCTGGAAGTCGAGGGGTTGAGACTGCAAGTTTCAACTCTCCAGTTACATGGTTGATTCCCCTGGCAATCAGCCCCCATCCTTAGGTGCTTTCCAAAAGTCACCTCATTAACATAAACTCAGGAGTGGATGAAAGGATGAAAGGGGTTTGTTATGAATATCAAGACAACTTTATCGTCTTATTACTTAGGAAATTCCAGGGATTTTAGGAGCTCTGTGCCAGGAAAGGGGACGAAGACCAAATATATATTTCTTATTGTAAATTACGATATTACTGCAATACAGTGTATTCTGATGAACAGCTATCTTCTAGCCAATTGAGTGTTCTCTCTCTCTTTACTTTTTAAAGCTCCTATACTGAGCACTTCATATGTGCCAAAAGGTGAGCTCAGTGTTTTATAGACAATATTTATTTTTATACTTGCAGCAATCCTATGAGGATTATGTTATATAATAGTGGTTATAACCAGCTCCTTGTAAATCTTGGAAAAGTAAACTGAGAATATTATATGCTCATCTGCTTTAAAATACTTAAAGCATAGATAGTGTTATAGACTGAATGTTTGTATCCCCCCAAATTCATATGGTGAAACTCTAACCCCCTCAATGTGATGGTATTTGGAGATGGGGCCTTTGGGAGGTAATTAGGTTTATATGTGACCATGAGGGTGGGGCCCTCATGATGGGATTAATCTCCTTATAAGAAGAGGAAGAGACACCAGAGCCCTCTTTTGCTGTGTGAGGACACAGCAAGAAGGCTGCTGTCAGCAAGCCAGGAAGAGAGTCCTCACTAGAACCCAGCCCAGCTGGCACCCTAATCTGATACTTCCAGCCTCCAGAACTGTGAAAAGTAAATTTCTGTTGTTTGGGCTACCC